CCATCCCCCCCACTTCGGCCGGCAAGAAGTTCGAAGTCCGAACCAAGGTTCTCGGTGTTTACGATAAGGGCCGTCCCGGCTCCGTCGTCGAGACCCAGACCGACCTGGTAGAGCTTCCTAGCAACGAGGTCTACGCCAGCGTTATCACCAGCAGCTTCTACATCGCCCAGGGCAACTGGGGCGGCCCCAAGGGCCCCGCGACCGAGAACTTCCCTCCCCCGAAGGACAAGAAGCCTGATGCCACCTTCTCCCAGGCTACGAACAAGGAGTCAGCGCTCCTCTACCGCCTCAATGGAGATTACAACCCCCTGCACGCGACCCCCGAGCCCGGCAAAAAGATGGGCTTCCCCGGAGCTATCATGCACGGATTGTACTCCTGGAACTCGACCGCCCACGGTCTGCTGAAGGCCCTCGGTGGCAGTGACCCTGCCAACATCAAGGAGTACCAGGCGCGCTTCGCCAGCCCCGTCATGCCTGGTGACAAGCTGGTGACAGACGCCTGGAGGACAGGCGATGTCAAGGATGGATGGGAAGAAGTTCGCTTCCAAACCAAGGTCGAGGGCGGAAAGATCGTTCTGAGCAATGGTCGCGCGCTGTTGAAGGTTGTGGAGTCCCCCAAGTCGAAGTTGTAAAATAATGGATTTTGGATGAAATTTTGGAACATTACAGTTCAGATTCAAGCACAGCATTCTATAACGTCATAAAATCACCTTCAAATACTTTGAGACTCTTTCGCTGTAGTGTGGTTGTTGACATGTTGGTGCTTAGTATTGATGACCACTCTTGCGCTCACTAACAATTTTGACGTCCCGGATCAGCTACAGCGAAAGAGCTCACGTACTCGAATCTCGTGGACCATTCTGCTGCCTGCCCACTAGGTACCTCAGAGCACCGAACCAAGTACACAAAAAAATGCGCATAGCATTTGGGACATCTCAGCGGTGACGACAACTTGCTGGGTAAAAAATGTCGTCAAGTAATTACGTTGGTCAGCGCCTGTCTTACGATAATGCACTTTGCACTGTCCGCTACATAGGGCCCGTCGCTGGCACGTCAGGCAGCTGGCTGGGCGTAGAATGGGACGACACCGGACGCGGGAAACACGACGGCCAACATAAAGACGTCCGATACTTTTCATGTTAGCTCATTTGCCCCCTCTTGTGTCGTTGCGCCGACAGTCAAGTCTCTAACTGTGGCCGCCAGGTCTCTCAAAAGCCCCCACCGCCGCTTCATTCGTGCGGCCAACCCGCCGCGCCGACGCTGCGCAGAGCTTCGTCACCGCGTTACACGGCAAGTATGCCTCTGAGGCGGTCGCGAAGCGCGAGGCGGAGATTCAGCAGATCGTCTTCTTTGGTAAGAAACCTGCTGAAGAGGTCGGCTTCGACAAGATCCGCCGGCAGCTCGCGCGCGTCGAGGACTTGACCATTGTGATTCTTGATGGCACGCGCATCCAGTCGGACGTCGTGGACGGGGACAAAACCATCAAGGAGACGAGCCCCCTCATTTACGAGCTGGATATCAGCAGGAACCTGTTTGAGGAGTTTGACCAGGTGATCAAGATCTGTCAGGAGCTGGACGGCTTGAAAAGTTTGAGACTAAAGTACGTTTTGAGGCTTTTCTTCGTCTTTTTGATCAGCTTTGAGACTGACTTGTTCCCAGTGGTAACCGCTTCCGAGTCATCGAGACGGGAGAAACGCAGGCCTTTGCAAAAGTGACTGAGCTGGAGCTTGAGGAGACGCTGTTAAGCTGGGAAGCGCTCTGCGGTCTTGCTCGCAAATTCCCGTTCCTCGAGACCTGGAGCTGCAGCTTGAACCAGTTGACCGTGCTGCCCAGCGTTTCGTTCGGATCGCTCGCTGCTACCCTCACGACCTTGGATCTCGAATTCAACGAGTTCACATCACTCTCTGACATCGCGGCTCTGTCATCCCTGGGGTCCCTCCACAACCTCCACCTCAAGGGCAACAGCATCGCCACCATCTCCTCTCCTTCCGGCCCGATCCCGACATTTTCAACGAGTCTGCAGTATCTAGACATATCCTATAACGCCGTCGCAAGCTGGACCTTTGTAGATGTCCTCCCCACCTCATTCCCGGGCCTCACGGCTCTCCGTTTCGCCCACAACCCAATCTACGACCATCCCGACCCGGACGCCGCCGCCGGCGACAACCAAACAAAGTCGACGGACGAGGCACACATGGTGACCATCGGCCGTCTGGCCTCCCTCAAGGCCCTCAACTTCACAGCAATCTCGCCCAAGGACCGCGAGAACGCAGACATGTTTTACCTCTCCCGCATCGCCAGGCAGCTCGCCTCCGTGCCCGAGGCCGCCGAGCCCGAAGTCATTGCCCAACACGCCCGCTATAAGGAACTCTGCGACCTCTACGGCGCGCCGGACGTCATCCGCCGCGACGAGATTAACCCTACCTACCTTGAGGCTCGTCTCATCACCGTACACTTCACCCACGTCGCAGCAGCGGCAGCACATACAGACGGCGGCAGCCGGGAAGAAGGACAGCAAGTGACCAAGACGGCCACGATCCCCAAATCCTGCGACGTCTACGCCGTCAAGGGGATCGCGGGACGGTTGTTTGGTGCGGAGCCCCTGCGGCTGCGTCTGGTGTGGGAGACTGGCGAATGGGATCCCGTCGGCGGGTTCGACGATGAGGAGAATGCGGATGATAGCAGCGACGAGGAAGATGCTACCGGAAGGAGCGGTGAGGGCGCTGCTGGGGCGCAGGAGGCGAGAGGAGGTAGATGGGTCAAGAGGGAGGTTGAGCTTAGGGATGGGCCGAGGCAGTTGGGGTTCTGTGTGGATGGAATGGATGTCAACATCCGCGTGGAAGATAGATGATTATCTTCTTTGGTCTGGCTCTTGAGTGGTCTCGCGGGATAATGCATATGGATTGCGGCTAGACTGCGTATGGTCGTCTGTTTGTAGCCTCTAGACTGCGTATCATTGCGTTTGCTGCGTCTGTACAAGCGACATGGGCATGTACGCATCCTGCCGAGCAGAAGATTGCAACAAACGGAAGGGCGGAGAATAAGACAAGACAGAGCTCCTGACAGAAATATGACTTCACGGTCCCATCTCCTCTTAATCTAAAACCGCCTCATATCCCATTTATTCGGGTTGAAACCCTTGAGAGGTCCTTAGAATCAGTACACGTCCCAACCATGCCGCCCAAAGTCACCAACGCCACTACTTTCAACACAGCCGCTGGCAACACCAGGAAGGGCCTGTCTCACTCGATTCACGGCCCACAAGCGGACGATGGCCCTCAGATACGACCGACACACTTCATCATTCGCGAGGGAAGCGACAGCCCAGGGGCTATTGTACCCGTCATACCAGTCGACCTTCTCCCAGACTATGTGACCATCGTCGGCCTGCCACGTACACTGACCATCAACGACACCACCGGCATGTCGAATCTGGGCACATTCGCCAAGTCGCAGAGTCACTTTCAGCTACAATTCGTATCCCCAGCGCATGATCGTTCCACCGGAGGAAGTCCTGAGAGCCGAGATTCTGGCCGTCCTCTCGAACCCCAGCGGCTGGGACCTGACGCTGCAAAGGTTGGCAAGCAGTCTCATGTAACAAAGCGCGGCGGTGTCACTGAATCTTCAAAGTCAGCTGCCTCGCAACCAACTCCCAAAATCATGACCGACGTCTCTCCACTCGCTCCTCCCCCTCTCCCACCCCGGGTCCTCGACTGGGCCGAAGACGACACAGACTCGGTCTCGACAGACAACTTCTCCTCGGCCGAGCTCTCCGCGCCAGACTCCTCGTCAAAGTCCTCCTCCGGCTGCAGAGACAAACGAAAACCGCTCCGACGAGTCCCGGTCACGGCTGCGGCCGCCATCAAGGAGAGATCGGATGCCGAGATCGCGGAGCGTATGCTCGAGCTTGGTCGCATCCAGCAGCAAGCAGTCGCTCGCAACCACCATCACCATCCTGCCCAGGCCCTGAAGATGGCCGCAGCAGCGGCGGCGGCGGCGTCTCACAGCAGTGACGGCAGCACCAGAACCAGCTCCAGTATTGCTGCCGGAACCTCGAAGCCTACCCCTCCTAAGCTCACCGCAGGGAAGCAAAAGGTAGTCCGGCCGGACGGCAGCCTCTGCCGGCACTGGTGCCAGACGGGCCAGTGCAGCTGGGGCAACGAGTGTCGCTACACGCACCAGATGCCCCTGACGCTCGAGGGGCTCGCGGACGTCAACATGACGGAGCTGCCGTCCTGGTGGCGCAAGCAGGCCGGCTTGCCTGCTGAAGGGACCATTGACCCACGCATCTTTGCTGTCGCCACCGTTGCCACCGGTCTGAAGAAGAGCAGCAGCAGCCCCTTTCCGGCGGCAGTAGGCGTCTCTCACACTGCTCCGCCGCCGGTGGCTCTTGAGTCGTCAAGAAAGGTTGCTAGGGTGAAGCCGGGAAAGGCTGAGAGGAGGATAGCGAGGGAGCTTCGTGGCGTGCAGTTTCGGGTCGAGAGGACGCAGGCGACAAGGTCATCTCCAGTTGTTGCTATTGGCAGTAAGAAGAACCTGAGTTTGGGGCGAATGCAGAGTCAGACAATGGGGATTCGGCAGATTGACGAGGTTGTTGAGAAGCTTGTTGATATTTGATCCTAGGTCAATATCTTTGGTGTGTGTGGCGTCTTTCTTGATAGACTTGGTTAGGAAGTAGACGATTGATGAACCGTCCAGTCAATGCAACTCAATTTGATGTACTTCTCTTTCGAAAGCCACCTTGTGATGGACAAGATATCTTGAATATCAACTTTCGTAAACCACTCCGTTCGAGATGACGGCTATCGAAGGCGCAGTTGCTAGACGCCATTGTCAGGCTTGCTTGTAAACTTGCCAAGTCCAATGTGACTTGCTCCAGATTCCCAATATTGAAGCCGGACTTGCATAATCTCCGTTACGCTGTAACGCACCGCCCAATATCAGACCAGCAAGGCGGCGGGACGACTACCATGCGGGAAGGAATATAAGCGTCTGACAGCATGTCGATCGGACTTGGAGGGTTACGTTCATCAGTTCAAGTTGATAATGTAAGCGGCTTAAGTCCATCCTACAGGCTCCCAAGCCCGTCGACGCAGCGAATTTCTCACATTTCCGACCGATCGGGAATCGAGGGTTGTGGTAGATGCTAAATCCGTCTACTGGTTCTTAACCCCGTCTAGACTCCAGCGAATGAAAGCGTGCCAAGGCAGTTAATCGTCCAGTGTACGGTACTCATCCTCCCGCAGCTCAAGCCCGACGGCTCGCCCGAGAACGTCCGCCGCTCTCTCGACAAGATCCTCTCCCAGCTCGGGGGCAGGAAAAAGGTTGACATTTTCGAGTGCGCGAGGCGGGACAAGAACACGCCCCTCGAGGTTACGTTCGGCGTCATTCAAAAGGAGTACATTGACACGGGCAAAGTTGGCGGCATCACACTCTCCGAGGTCTCGGCGGCCACCATCCACGAGGCCGTCAAGATAGCCAAGATCGTTGGCGTCGAGGTCGAGCTCAGCTTATTCTCCACCGACCCTCTAACCAACGGCGTCGCCGCCGCGTGCGCGCAGTACGGCATCCCCATCATCGCCTACTCGCCCATCGGCCGCGGCATGCTCACGGGCGAGGTCAAGTCGCTCGACGACATTCCCCAGGGCGACATGAGGCGGCACATGCCCCGCTTCCAGCCCGACACGTTCGACATCAACATGAAGCTCGTCGAGCAGGTCGAAGCCTTGGCTGAGAAGAAGGGCGTCACGCCCGCACAGCTCGCCATCGGCTGGGTCGTCGCCCTCTCCAAGAGGCCCGACGTGCCCGAGATCATTCCCATCCCGGGTGCCACGACGGCGGCGAGGGTCACGGAGAATGCAAAGTTGGTTGAACTCACCGAGGAGGAGATGGCAGAGATTGACGCGACGCTGGCCAAGTTCGAGGTCGCAGGTGGCCGCTACCCCGACGGTGCCCCCGTCAACACCTAAGACATTGAATGAAGCCGTATATAGAAAGCATTTTCAAAAACTAGTCAAACCTTTTGTCCCAAACGTTAGCTTGACATTTCCCTAAGCGTAGCCTGAATGTTTTGAATGAAGAAAAGCTTCGAGAAGCGGGCTCAGTGTTGCTAGTAAGGCGAAGATTTTATCCACAAGACGACCCGGAGGTCTTCAGAATTGCAGAATTCTTTTTTGATCATCATTGTGCCATTGGGTATCAAAAGCAATAAGAATAGTACGTTGCAACTTACCATTTGTAGTCCGAAGCTTTCGGCTTCGCAAAATATTGTGGTTGGACTTGGGTGAGAGAGATGCAGTGTCGGAAGAAAAAAGTTCTGGTCTGGCCAAGGACATTTATGTATACGATGACTAAGCAAGCTATCCTCAATTCCTAGGCGGCCAACCGAGATGGTGGATGCTCTTGGTTTCCACTTACTTGACGGATACCTCAACCGATGGCTACTTGTACATAATGAGTATCACAGCAGTTCGGTCAGTGGACGGCGCAAGGAGTGTAGTCTTCAAGAAGTAGATTGATAGGCTCAACAACAACACGGTATCAGGGTATACAGCAACGCGCCTTTTACCAACAAATCGAATATAGTGGCTCTCGCCCCATAAGGTACACGAAGAGAAGTTGGCTTCTACACCATCGCTCCATTCAAACCGTGAGCCTCAACCCTATTGACCAGCTTCTTCACGTTTGTCCACTCCTCCGCCTTGAGGTCGTCTCTTCCTCCTAGGCCAGACGCCACCTCGAACACGGTCAAGACTCCGTCGATACCTCCCGTAGCCAGACGCTTGCCCTCGGAAGGCTCCCACACAACCTTGTTCAAGCTCTTGGCAAGCATCGTTCTACCATCCTTGCGAGAGCTCGGGGATATTCTCGCCACAGGCTCCTCAGTCTCCACTGTGATGTCCCATAGCTCGAGCCAGCCTGCCCCATCAACCAGGGCGAAAACACTGGGCTTGATCGGCGACCATTGTGCATCATATACCACGTCTTCTCGCACAAAGTCGATAAGTGGTGAAACAGTCGGCTCAACACCTGCTGTCGATGTCGCCGCGGGTGCGCGAACCTTCCACAGTCTGACGCTCCAGTCGAGAGAAGATGAGAGAACCAAGTCACCAAGATCCACAGGACCGCGGGCAGGATGGAAGTCCACCGACATGACCGGCGCCGTGTGTCCCTTGTAGCTGACGCGAGCATCAACTCCGGCCTTTGCGCCGGCTCGGTCGTATCTGTGGCAAGGGAAAATAGTGCCCTCCTCACTGCCAACGAGGAAAAACGTAGGATCCGTTTGGGGAAACGCTAAAGAGGTCGGGCTGATATCGTCCAACTTGTAACCGGGCGGTGCCTTGAGCTCCAACAGCTCTTGCGGCTGGGCAAAGACGTCCATGCTCCAGCCGCAGACCACACCGTCCGTAGAAGTTGAAATGATGTTGTTGGCGTTTTGAGTACCCACAATATCGACCGAATAGATGGGGTGCGTGTGGCCGTATCCTGTAAGTGGCGTCTTCTGGACGGGTGCCGATTTTGCTCTCATATCCCACAGCAGTACTTGACCGCTGTAAGTGCCACCGATAATGAGGTTTTGGTGATAAGGGGAGAATTTCGCAGTGAGAACATCAGACTGTGCGTGAAAAACATACTCTGGTCTGTCACGCAGAGCCAAGCTCCAGACTTGGACCAGGCCATCCGGCTCGTGTGGTGCAGTTGGGTTTTTGGTGTACGATGCCAGCATCAGCTCAGAATGATGATGTGAGAAGTCGATGCTGCTGATCATGCGTTTCTTCGACCATCTTTCATCGAAGAACTGGGCCACCTCCTTGACTCTCCGCCGACCTTTGCCACCCACGTTGCCGCTATCATCGTCATCGTCATCCACATCTTGACCTTGGAGGGCGTAATCTGTGAGAATATCGTATTCCTGATCAAGAGCTCTTTCGATCACCTTCGTAGATTTCTCCAAGAATTCAGAAAAGTCGGGGGCGCCAGTGACGGCTTCCAGCTCCTCGGCAGTAAGCTTGCGCATAGGATAATTCGCCTTCGCCGGGGTGTCGCTCGGAATCACACCGTCCTTGAGCAGATCCAGCGAGGCCTTGAGCTCCTCTTCCACCTCCTTTCGAATGTCCTGTCGCAGCTCTTCTTCGCGATCCCGCTGCCTTCGGCTCAGTCTCTTGCTGGGCGTCGATGTGATCGGAGGGATGTCTTCGGTATCGGAGAGTGACTGGGCTCTAGGTCGGGTTGGCGAAGTCCATGCTTCCGCCGTTTGCACTCCCTTGCTGTATGAGTGCACTTCCTTGACAGGAGATGGGGGAACTTCGTAAATAGTCGTGAGCGGTGCCGTCGTCAGACTCAGCTGCACGGGAGTTGCAACAGGAGCTGGGGCCGGAGTTGGTTGGCCATTGGCGGGGGTTGCGAACTCCGATGTTGCAGTACTCAACTCTCCTGCGCTGAGGACGCTGTTGGGCCGGCTTCCCCTACGGGCCGGTGACGCAGCTCCTCCTGTCGTTGATCCAGGTCGACTTTCTCCCACCAAACTGTTGATCAAGGTTTCGATGTCGCGGCGGTTCTCGGCTCGGCCTGGGATGGGGGAGACCAGCTATACAACACATCAGCAGATTGCATCGGTGAAGGGACCGGCTCATCTCACGTCGCCTGGGCTTCCTGCACTTTGCCGGCTTGCTGTTGCCTGAGTTGCACGAAGCTCTCTCTGTCGCTTAAGCTCCGCAAGCTTAGCCTTCTTTGCGAGGATTTCATCTCGTCGCTGTTGCATTTTGTCTTCTCCTTAATCCCATCGCGGGACTGGCCGACTGTGGGGTGGATTGTCGCGGGGCAGACACTGACGTTGCAAAATCAGGTAGGTAGAGTCGAGAGATCGCAGGTGAGGCCGAGAGCCGGGTGCACAAAGGTCAAATAGGAGCTGCCTTTTTGTTGACGATGTCGGATGCCTGTGACAGTGTTTGGCAACCGCAGCGATGTTCGGTTTAATGGGGATTCCCTTTCCATGCGCGTTGTCCAGTCGCGATTCCAGAGGGACCCCTGTTTGGAGTCAGGTACAGCTTCTGCCCAAATGCTGCAGAAAGATACCTCGTTGGCCCCTGCATTAAAGTTGACCTCCCGGTCAGTAGCTTGGTGGACATTTCCACCAAGAAGCAACTAACCTTGCAAGGCAAGTGACGCACGTGATTGCGACAGATCGGCAAAGCGTCGGCGAAATTGCGCAGCGGTATTCGGTCGCTGAGGTAAGGAAGGTCCCTCAGCGGCACAGCGGCTGGGTGCAAGCTTCTGGGCAGCCCACCTCAGTCAGCATGGCGACGGGCGCTGGGCGCTGGCAATAGGCGGTCCATTAGCACTGGCGCTGGGATGGTGTTCCCCGTCCGAGCTCCAGACACCCGGGAGTGACTTGACGGCCAACCAGTGGAAAATCTGCGAGTTTTCCCGAGCATATTTTCAACCTGGAAAACCTCACACCCTGCGTCCCCTAACGTAATTCCCTCGACAGAGCTCCGAAAGGGTCAATTGGCAGCCATTGTCAACCCGCGCACTGTCCTTTCTATCGTTCGCTCCCTCTCGAAAGCAGTTGCGCAATCCAGGCAATTGCCCACAATGTCTTCCTCCTCAGGAGTTAACGTACGTCGTGTCCTTCGCCCTCGTCCGCATCTTGCGGAGCACCCAGCCACCTTGTCTCCCTAAGCCGACCGACGACCCTCCATCGCCACGCCAATCGACCATGAGCATTGAGCTTGCGCTTTCGAGAGTATGAACAGCTCGGCTGATTGATGGACTTTATAGGTGCTGAGATACACGGCCCTTGGCCTGGGTGTGTTCTACGGCTTCACACATCAGCGAACGATCACAGCAAGCCAGAAGGCTGCCGCTGCCACGAAGGAGTACGAGCGCAAGCAGAAGTTGATCGACCAAGCAAAGGCCGAGTTCGCGAAGAAGAGCCTGCCCGTCACGGCGGCGGCTGCTGATGCCGGTGGTGCGTTCTCCCTCGATAAGACGTGGCCGGCTTTTGGACGTCGCAGTCCTCGCCCGTCACTTCTCGCCCTCGTCGGTGGCTTGCACAGAACTCATGAAAACTGACATCAGCCACAGCCAACGTCGACCCGATGGACCCCAAGTTCGACCTTGAGGCCTACTTCAATAACCTGGTGAAGCAGAACCCGTAGACTGGATAACCGAATGGGGGAAGGGGACGGCTTGCACAACGGATAGACAGGGTCAGGATTGGGGATACGCCTGCTCACGGAGAACACGAATAGTCCTAACAAGGGACGAATAATCTGGTCTTTTGGCAGCAGTAGGTGCATGGTAGGCACCACGCCCGATGTCACCGCATAGACATTTCCTTACGTCTGTTTACCGGATGTACATGTGTACAATACGCTCAACTAGATGACAATTCCAAGGAACGAGCCATTGGATTCCATCAATTACTTATATTTCTCGCGTATCAACTTCCCAATCTCTGAGCCTGAGCGGGTTCTATATGCATTGACAATCGACACATAGGTCCATCGTGGCCTGTAAGACAGTGAAATGCTGCTTTCCCTGACGTTGCTGCAATTGGTTCCAGCAGATGGCTGAAGGTTATTGTAGCTGTATATTGGCCGACTGAACCATAACATCAAACTCCGACGGTATATCTAGGTAGAAGCTGGGCAGCCATTTGGAGGCTTTCGCTCGTGACACAGATTAGATGACTCGTCTGATGCGCATTCATCTCTAACAGTATGGTGCTGTATGGTCATTCATCAACTTTCCAGGGATCTCCATGGAATGCGCCGAAGCTGCAACAATAGACTGAGTATTCTTATTGCCCGTTATGTATGATGCGTCTCTTATGATAACGTACTTTATGGACCGCATACGCCATCTACTCTCGAGGCCGGGATCCGGCACTGACCCGGCCACCCCGGACGGGACGGGATCCCTTGGCCCGGGATATTCTTTGTCCGAGGCACGTGACTCCACCTTT